TATAATGAAAGGGCAAACACTACTTACTAGGAACACATTTAAATAATATGCACTACAAACTAAGAACACATTGAAGTATCGAACATTACAAATTTACACACATACAGTAAATTACCAAACACTACTAACCATGAACACAATTAAAAAAGAATCAATGTCTGGCAAGAAACCCATCAAATCCCTAGACTCCATCGTCTACACTTGCCATCTAGATCAGACCGTTTCAGAAAAAAAAGGATTCGAATTTTGATACTTCACTAAACGTTTAGACACATAATCGACTGAGCTTCTAGAAAAAATCCCATTCAATAGTGTCTCCTAAGTGACGTGGAAAGCGATCATTTGAGCAATCTCTGTCCCGAGGACTCACTCTTGAGTTTCTTACTTAAAATATGATATCACAATATGGGATGGAATATTATGGGCCAGGTTCCTAAAAGCCAAAGTCAACGATGAAGGTCTCGGTTGAAAACAGACCAAAGTGGGACCGTGAACTGGCCGAATATTTGACCACTAGCACAGATCCACTCACGTGATTGATGAATGAGGACTCAACAGGAGCACCTGCTAGGACTCCAGGTTTATGACGTCAGACAGTGTCTGAGTAAATGCCAACGTTCTTTTCTTACATACGTTCATCATTCATCATAACCATAACCATAACCATAACCATAACCATAACCATAACCATAACCATAATCATAACCATAACCATAACCATAATAATAACCATAACCATAACCATAACCATAACCATAATAATAACCATAACCATAACCATAACCATAATCATAACCATAACCATAACCATAACCATAACCATAACCATAACCATAACCATAACCATAACCATAACCATAACCATAACCATAACCATAACCATAACCATAATCATAACCATAACCATAACCATAACCATAACCATAACCATAACCATAACCATAACCATAACCATAACCATAACCATAACCATAACCATAACCATAACCATAATCATAACCATAACCATAACCATAACCATAACCATAACCATAACCATAACCATAACCATAACCATAACCATAATCATAACCATAACCATAACCATAACCATAACCATAACCATAACCATAACCATAACCATAATAACTAGGATTGGTCTCTGAGAATAAATGGGACGCATTTCTTAAATAATTCGACAGTGTTGGCCTAATAAATGGTTTAAACTTTAGACAGTCATTTTAAGGTCATGGTTTGAACGATGCGTGTCAAGGTCAAGGTCTGGGATTGAACGATGCGTTTCAAGGTCAAGGTCTGGGTTTGAACGATGCGTGTCAAGGTCAAGGTCTGGGTTTGAACGATGCATGTCAAGGTCAAGGTATGCATCTAAACAAATATTTTAAAGCAGTAGCAGAAACTAAATCAGAAGATAACAAATTAAATGTTTCCTCAAAATGAAAATAGAAGATAATTTCATTGAATAAATAAGTGGGTATTCTAACGTTTACACCAATGTGATAGGTTGGTATTCCACCCTCATCACCAACGTGATAAGTGGGTATTCTAACGTCAACACCAATGTGATAGGTGGGTATTCTACCCTCATCACCAACGTGATAAGTGGGTATTCTAACGTCAACTCCAATGTGATAGGTTGGTATTCTACCCTCATCACCAGCGTGATAAGTGGGTATTCTAACGTCAACAGCAATGTGATAGGTTGGTATTCTACCCTCATCACTAACGTGATAAGTGGGTATTCTAACGTCAACAGCGAAGTGATAGGTTGGTATTCTACCCTCATCACTAACGTGATAAGTGGGTATTCTAACGTCAACAGCAATGTGATAGGTTGGTATTCTACCCTCATCACTAACGTGATAAGTGGGTATTCTAACGTCAACAGCAATGTGATAGGTTGGTATTCTACCCTCATCACCAACGTGATAGGTGGTACTCTGCTCTCCAAACCAGTGTGATAGGTGGGTATTCTACTCTCAACACAAACGTGATAGGTGGTACTCTGCTCTCAAAACCAGTGTGATAGGTGGGTATTCTCCTCTCAACACAAACGTGATAGGTGGTACTCTGCTCTCAAAACCAGTGTGATAGGTGGGTATTCTACTCTCAACACAAACGTGATAGGTGGTACTCTGCTCTCAAAACCAGTGTGATAGGTGGGTATTCTACTCTCAACACAAACGTGATAGGTGGTACTCTGCTCTCAAAACCAGTGTGATAGGTGGGTATTCTACTCTCAACACAAACGTGATAGGTGGTACTCTGCTCTCAAAACCAGTGTGATAGGTGGGTATTCTACTCTCAACACAAACGTGATAGGTGGTACTCTGCTCTCAAAACCAGTGTGATAGGTGGGTATTCTACTCTCAACACAAACGTGATAGGTGGTACTCTGCTCTCAAAACCAGTGTGATAGGTGGGTATTCTACTCTCAACACAAACGTGATAGGTGGTACTCTGCTCTCAAAACCAGTGTGATAGGTGGGTATTCTACTCTCAACACAAACGTGATAGGTGGTACTCTGCTCTCAAAACCAGTGTGATAGGTGGGTATTCTACTCTCAACACAAACGTGATAGGTGGTACTCTGCTCTCAAAACCAGTGTGATAGGTGGGTATTCTACTCTCAACACAAACGTGATAGGTGGTACTCTGCTCTCAAAACCAGTGTGATAGGTGGGTATTCTACTCTCAACACAAACGTGATAGGTGGTACTCTGCTCTCAAAACCAGTGTGATAGGTGGGTATTCTACTCTCAACACAAACGTGATAGGTGGTACTCTGCTCTCAAAACCAGTGTGATAGGTGGGTATTCTACTCTCAACACAAACGTGATAGGTGGTACTCTGCTCTCAAAACCAGTGTGATAGGTGGGTATTCTACTCTCAACACAAACGTGATAGGTGGTACTCTGCTCTCAAAACCAGTGTGATAGGTGGGTATTCTACTCTCAACACAAACGTGATAGGTGGTACTCTGCTCTCAAAACCAGTGTGATAGGTGGGTATTCTACTCTCAACACAAACGTGATAGGTGGTACTCTGCTCTCAAAACCAGTGTGATAGGTGGGTATTCTACTCTCAACACAAACGTGATAGGTGGTACTCTGCTCTCAAAACCAGTGTGATAGGTTGGTATTCTACCCTCCACATCACGTTCTTTCTTTATTCTATCCATTTATTCTTAACTATGTTCTATTATCTAATCAATCAATTAATTTCAGGACCAATGAATAGCGCACAAACGAATGAGAAAATATTTCATCACATTCCCTTCCCTGTTTATAGATCGCATAGACAGGACTTGAACTGGACAGACATGTCTCTGGCATCTTGCATGGCTCGTTGTATGACGAGTTGCATTAAAATAAACGGCATTTTCACCTGAATGTGTTGGGCGTCGTCAAGTTACTGCATACTGCTTGTCCGGGTTATAGAGCAACGTCACGGCTGAAGGTACCTTCTTGGTGATGCTAGACATGTCATACAGAAAAGAAGTGTAACACCCAGCAGAATATACGCGTGATTCTCGGCGCAAAAAGTCAAAGAATGGACGTTACGACAGGCTCATATCTCCCGACTTGTCACAAACTGTTCTGACGTAGTAGTGGTCAGTATAGGACCACTCCTCCATGTGTTTTCTATTTCAGGTAACTGCGTGCTACGGAAGGCAAAAGAACAACTTAGATGAGAATCAATGCAAACAACTCAATAGTGTCTTAGATGGAAAGGAAATATTCGTTTATTACTATACCAAACCCGTTTCTCCTTTCACTCTAACTCTTTCACATTATTGTAACTAACTGCTCACTGAGGGTTTACGAACTATCTCTTCAACTGTTCATGGACTGTTTAGTAACTATTTACTAACTGTTCACTAACTTTTCACTAATGATTCACTTACTGTTCAATAACTGTTCACTAACTGATCACTATATCCCCTACAACTATACTGTCCTAGACCGTAACTTTGACTGAAACGACTGTCCTCTCTTGAATGTCTCTACTAACATTTATGACACAGATGGATATGTACATCTGTAAAGAGCTAGATTCTTGATGCTAAATAGACTTCAGTCTATGCTGCTTTTCTTCCAGGCATTATTCTGCGATATGAAATCTGTACAGCTTGGCGACCTTAGAGGCCTTGGCTCATTGAAGAGCTTGCCAGTGTGACCTTAGAGGCCTTGGCTCATTGAAAAGCTTGCCAGTGTGACCTTAGAGGCCTTGGCTCATTGAAGAGCTTGCCATTGAACTTATTTCGTAAAATCAAACAGCTTATTTGTCGCAAGAATGTTTAGTACTATGTAATACTAGCGTCCGCCCGTCAACAAATCAATGACACGGATGCAGATTGCGATTACTAAAGCTTTAATAAGATTTACTATGAACAAGAAGACTGAAAATTAAAAAAGAAAGATTCAGAATTCCATTTGGTTAAGGAAAAACTTTCCTAAATGTCTGAATTTGAATAATTTAATTCAAAAAAGAATTATGTCTATACTGACAACATTGATCTTGACATTGACATTTAAAACAAGCGCAAATCTGGACTGAACAAAACGATTGCAATAACTTTCTAGTGGGGGTAATATTTTATGTCAATTAATGTTTTAAAAGAGGAAGTGATCTAATGTATTTAAAATCTAATGATGGGTATGTTAGATCAATTGGACTTTGGTACATATTGGATAAATAGCAGATCAAATTCTGCAAGTGTCCAAAAAATATTTGAAGCTAGTTTCCAGATTATTTTTGCACAGCCCGCATCAGGGCGGAAATAAAGTTTACATTTTGGAATTGATACAGAGCTACAGATAGAATTACAACCAAAAAAAAAAATCAGCTAACAAAACATCTACACCATATATTTACAACTTAACAACAGAAGCATAGATAGCTGTCATATTTGACCAGCTTAAATATGTAATGTTTTACAGCACGCCATCTGTCATATTTCACAGCCCCTGATCTGTTATATTTTATCAGCCCTCCATCTATCATATTTTACCAAGTTTCCCCCCGTTGCCAAACATATCATAGAATTTCATTCTGAAAAGCGACCCCATAGACAAGAAGAGAAAGAAGTTGACCGAAGCCTTGAGAAAGTCCAGGACAAACAGCCACACGGCAACAGAATAGAAAATGTTGTGGTAGCGGCGCAGCAGATAGAACTCAGGCTCAATGAGCTGTGCCACGTAGAAGACGATCCTTGGAAATAGATTTCCGATGTTGACCAATACGACAGCCAGGAGCATCTTCACAACCAGCTTTTCTCTAAGGGATATTCCCGATTTAATCTTTCGGGAAATCTCGGAATTCCTAGTACTTTCTTTGTTGTCCTTTAGAAGAAGTCTCGAGGATTTTCTCAGTTTATAAACTGTGGTAGCTGAACACAGGCAAAGCACCGTGAAGCTGGCGAATGGCAGAAGTATCGCAGCGTATTTGTAATAGACCATGACGATAGCCTGGTTGGCATAGAAGAAACTGTTATACCTGTAGATAGCCACGGTTGTGTTGAGATTTGGTGCAAAAACGAAAGCGACCTCGCTTATGAAGTACATGACGACATACGCACCGAAAACCACAATGGAAATCATGGCGACAGCGCTCAGAGTGAACCTGGGCGTAAACAACGCCTTGACGGTAAAGGGCTTACTGACACAAAGACACCGCTCTATGGAAACGTAAGTGGTGAGGGCGTAAGACACGTAGCCAGCAAAGATTGGAGTGTAGCCTCCGAAAGAGGCAGTAAGGTTCTGCCAGGTAATACCGGCAGCAGTTGACACAAGACCAACTGGCCCGTACATGCGATGGATGAGTCCTGTCCCACATTTGAGCAAGTCTCAGCAGGCGATGGTCGTCATGGAGATGTTGACCCCGTCTTTGAAGCCCTGTCTCCAAAACACCAAGATGTTGAGCAGATTCGTGACCACTCCAAACCCGGTGATAGGGGTCAGGAGCCAGAGCTGGATGTAGGTTTCGAAATAGGCCAAGACTTCGTCGCTAACTATTTTATCGAATACGAGCGACTGGGTGCTCAAGGTTGGGGATACGACATGATTCATTGATTGGTCATTGTTTATGTTTAGAGTGATGCGTTCAGGCCAGGTTTTTGTGTTCATTCCTTAGTGTTTGGTTCTACAAGGCTCTACGTGATCATTTCTGTTGACAAAACTGTTCCCAGAGGACACATTGGGATAACCTAATTCTGTCGTACCTTTTTGTGGAATTCGTTGTCAGTGGACACTTTAGTTGACCTAGTTCTAAATTGACAATTAGTAGATCTAGTTAATAAGTGGACACATTTGTTGACCTAGCTCTCAATGGATACTTTTGTTTACTTTTTTATCATTAGACACTAATGTTGGCCTATTTCTATGTGAAACCTTTTATTGACTTAGTTTCTTAGTCGACACTTTTGTTCACCTTGGTCTCGTGGACACTTTCGTTGAGCTAGCTCTCAGCTGACACACGTGTAGCCCTAGTTCTCAGTGGACACTTTCATTGATCTCATTCTCAGGTGACACAAGTGTTGAACTATTTCTCATTGACATTTTTTGACCTCATACTCAGTGGACACTCAGTGTTAAATGGGAGCTGACTGAACACGTTTGTCAGCCAACCAGTACCCAGCTGACCCTATTGCTATATGTATATATTTACTCTATCTTCACAGTTATGTTAATGGTGCTGCACTTGACGACATACCAGTGCCCTGACCAAAAGAGTTCCAATAATGTGTGTGTGTTTTATTTCAGTCTGGTCCTTGTAAATCTAGTTTGGATGCAATTCTCCACATGAAAGATATATCTTATTCTGTTTATTAGTGATCGTCTCAAATCAATCGAAACTGCCAGTGTTAACTGCCAGTGTTAACTGCCAGTGTTAACTGCCAGTGTTTGATAACATGAGGTTTATCTTTACATTTACAAAATATCTCCCATTACTGAAGGCAGTGAACGCTCAATTGACACAAGGTACCAAAAAATCAGCCAGTTACTGTCTGTAATAAACTGTGATGACGACTAATTAATGTGGCCCTGGCTCAATAAAATGATCAGTGTGCAGTCGTGAATTATTTTTTTTTAATGCTCGCTTCTGGCTTTAATAATACAGTGCTGGCCATTTAACTACTGGCAGTGGTACCACTGCTGAATAACCATTCAATTACCGCAAATATCAAGGGAGATAATTCCAGGTTTCGGAATGAGTTTGTCTAGTTTGAAATGTCATCATGGGGTGTAAAAAAAATAATCTTTTGGAAGTTAAGACATAAGCAATGTGTTGGAATAGATAATTAATGAAGAATTAGACTGACAGGGGCAGATGTATTTAAACGAAAATATAATTGAAGGGTGCTGATGGAGAAATGTGTGTATTTAACTATTCGTATGTGCACTTAATAAGACAAGAATTTTGTCTGGAAAAAGTGGCAGGGGGCATTTACAGAGGTCATAATCAGAAATCAGTCAATTAAACGGTGGGGTAATTTGCAGAATAAAAGGAACAAGGTAATATCATAGCAATTAATATCACCTATAATCTCACGTGATCCCTGGGTCGAACACAATTGGGCCGTGGCAGATCAACCAATCAGTAGGTAGAGGATTTTAAAAATAAAGAGGAAAATCACCACAAAAAAAACAAACATTATTTAAAAACAAAAAATGAATTTGGCCTTAAGGGATAAAATGTCAACTAAGAATATCTGCCACACCTCAACTCTATCCTGATCTGTGCTTTAGACCAGCGTTACCAAAATGGTGGGTCGAGGTCCAGCTCAGCCCTGCGAGCATTATGTTGTCAATCTGCACAAACAACTGGAAGAAATGGACGATATTTGAAACAACTTAAAAAAATTCATGATTGTCTCTAGCATGAAAACACCAAACGATGTACGCAGCAAGAAGGGCTTGGTGCTCTGACGCTATGGGGAATGTTGATATTGGTGCTCTGACGCTATGGGGAATGTTGATATTGGTGCTCTGACGCTATGGGGAATGTTGATATTGGTGCTCTGACGCTATGGGGAATGTTGATATTGGTGCTCTGACGCTATGGGGAATGTTGATATTGGTGCTCTGACGCTATGGGGAATGTTGATATTGGTGCTCTGACGCTATGGGGAATGTTGATATTGGTGCTCTGACGCTATGGGGAATGTTGATATTGGTGCTCTGACGCTATGGGGAATGTTGATATTGGTGCTCTGACGCTATGGGGAATGTTGATATTGGTGCTCTGACGCTATGGGGAATGTTGATATTGGTAATCTGTCACTATGGAGCAGGTTGATTTTGGTAATATGACGCTATATAGCAGGTTGATATTGTTAATCTGACATAACGTGAAAGGTTAATTTTGGTAATCCGTCGCTATATGGCAGGTTGATATTGGTAATCTGGCAATATGTGACAGGTTGATATTAGTAATCTGTCGCTAAATGGAAGATTGCTATTGGTAACGGTGCACTTTGCGGCTTGTTGATTTTGGTAATCTTTCAATATGTGGCAGGTTGATATTGGTAATCTGTCGCTATATGGTTGATGAAATTTGTAATGTGACGCTATGTGGAATGTTCATTTTAGTTATCTGTCCCTATGTGGCAGGTTGATATTGTTATTTCACGCTATGTGGCGGGTCAAAATTTTAAGAACTTTGAAATCTATCATTAAAAAATAAACATAAAAAAATATAAACAGGGCCAAAGTTGATGCTACAAGTACTAGCTTCAACTATAGATATCAAATAACTGACACGAGGTGTAGACAAGGTGACTCAGGACCTTATGAGCAAAACTTTGCGGCTCCTGTGAAGTCTAGAAAATCGTGTACATTTTTAATTTGTTTTATTAAACGTGAGAGCCTTGCAATCAAGAGAATGTTTATAAAACTGAACAGCGAGCTCGGCGAAATTGATCATGTATGGACATGTCATTAACTGATCATGCGTGGACTATGTCATTAATTGATCATGTGTGGACTATGTAATTCATTGATGATGTATGGACTATGTCATTAATTGATCATGTATAGACTATGTCATTAATTGATCATGTGTGGACTATGTCATTAATTGATCATGTATGGACTATGTCATTAATTGATATTGTGTGGACTATGCCATTAATTGATCATGTGTGGACTATGTCATTAATTGATCATGTTTGGATTATGTCATTAATTGATCATGTGTGGACTATGTCATTTATTGATCATGTATGGACTACGTCATTAATTGATCATGTGTGGACTATGTCATTAATTGATCATGTATGGATTATGTCATTAATTGATCTTGTATGGACTATGTCATTAATTAAACAAAGATAAGACAAGCAATATATATTAAAAAAAAAAAACTTGAGTGAATTTCTTGATTGATGTTGGAAGTTCGTTTTTCTGTCAAAATCGCAAAGACATGCACGCAGCGGTATCGCTTATTTCATCATACTTGTCAAGAACTCTATACTGGGAACATACACTTGTAATGCAGTGGTGCTGTGATAACTCATATTTTCATAGTTAAAGAATATGCATCACATCGTATTTAGTTTGTCTCCTCTTACAATAGCATTGTTATACGGCGGCGCCTCAAAATTGTGTAAGTAGGTAACCTTCTGGTGCAGTAATTGTGTCGTCATTGTTGATTGCTATTGGAAAACCCAATGTCTCTTTCACCTACCCTTTCTGAGATGTAGGCCGATGTCACTTTCACCTACCGTTCATGAGATGCACACATATGTCCCTTTCACCTACCGTTTCTGAGATGCACACATATGTCCCTTTCACCTACCGTTTATGAGATGTACGCAGATGTACCTTTCACCTACAGTTTCTGAGATGTAGGCAGATTTCACTTTCACATAACATTCCTGAGATGTACACATATGTCCCTTTCACAAACCGTTCCGGAGATGTACGTAGAAGACCCTTTCACCTGCCTTTTTGGGATGTACACAAATGTGCCTTTGACCTGCAGTTCCTGAGATGTATGCAGATGTTCCTATCACCAGCCGTTCCAGAGATGTACACAGATGTCCGTTTCTCTTACCGTTCCTGAGATGCACGCAGGTGTCACTTTTCACCTACTGTTCCTAAGATGTACGTAGATATCACTATGTTGTCAGTTGGGGTTCCTTTCTATTGGCAGCTTTCTTTTGGCAGCTTTCTATTCAAAGCTTTCTGTTGGCAGCTTTTTATTGTCAGCTTTCTTTTGGCAGCTTTCTATTGACAGCTTTCTGTTGGCCGCTTTCTGTTGGCAGCTTTCTATTGGCAGCTTTCGTTTGGCAGCTTTCTATTGGCAGCTTTCTATTGGCAGCTTTCTTTTGTCAGCTTTCTGTTCAAAGCTTTCTGTTTGCAGCTTTCTTTTGTCAGCTTTCTGTTGTTAGCTTTCT